AAAAAAAAAAAAAAAAAAAAAAAAAAAAAAGGAATGATTTTTTTATCTTAAGTGGGTGTGGTGGTGTACATCTGTAATCCCAGCATTCGGGAGCCTGAGGCAGGAGGATCGCTGTGAGAATTCCAGGCTATGCTGGGCTACACAGTTTAAGGCCAGCCTGAACTACACAGCAAGGTCTTGTATGCAAAAAAACAAACAAAAAAGTGATTTTTAGAAAAGTAAACGTAAAGTAAAGCCTGTTGCTGTAACGTGGACCCTGACCTGCTTTGTGTCCCACCTGTTTTCTCCTTGCTGCAGCTCTTTGAGGCTAAAACTCTGTAATCTCCCTTGCTCGGCTCTGGAAACAGGCACTAGTGTGTGCCTCGTGTCTCCATCCTACCCTCCTGCCTCCCTTCTGTGGGCTTTCTGGGCCTCAGTTCCCCCTTTGCAAAGTGAGGAAGCTGGAACCTTTACTTTTGAGACCCCACCAGGGGTGTGCTGTCCACTGGGCCTTGTCCTGGGGAACCCGCCCAAGACTTGCAGTAACCACAGCCTGATGCCGCCCCACCCCACCTGACCCCACAGCCGGTGAGCTCCTCTGAGAGCGAGGCCCCCGAAGCTGACCCTGCAGGTAGGAGCGACGCGGATGAGGATGAGGAGGACCGGGGGGTCATGGCTGTCACAGCTGTGACTGCCGCAGCCACCAGCGACAGGATGGAGAGTGACTCGGACTCCGATAAGAGCAGTGACAACAGTGGCCTGAAACGGAAGACATCGGCCCTGAAGGTAGAGGTGAGGCAGGGTGGCCTGGCCCGGGCAGGGCACAGGTGCCCAGTACTTCCCTGTTCTCGTGACACCGTGAGGTGTCTGCTGGTAGCCCTTTCCCACACCTCTTTGTTTTGTTTTGTTTTGGTATCGGGGGTCGAACTCAGGTCCTTGCGCTTGTGAGGCAGGCAGAGGCACCGCTGAGCTAAATCCCTGGCCCCTGTTTGTTTTTTGAGGCAGGGTTTCACTGTGTGGTTGAACTTCCTATGTAGTCTGGGCTGGCCTGGAACTTGTGGCAACCCTTCTGCCTCGGCCTCCCAAACGCTAGGATTACAGGTGTGTACCACCAGCACTGGCTGTTTATTTATTTGAGGCAGAATCTCATGATGACAATTGCTCGAGTTAGCCTCAAACTTAATTGTCTTTCTGCTGCCTCAGCTTCCTAAAATACTGAGATGATAGGCATATTCTACCAAGCCTGGCTTCAGATGCACTTAAAAGAAATTGCCGGGGAGGCTGAGGATTTAGCTCAGTGGCACCTTCCCTGCCTGGCCAGCACAAGGTCCTTAGTTTGATTCCCAGTACCAGGAAAGAAAAAAAAAATTTTTTTGAGTCAGGGTTTTGTTGTGTGGCCCCAGCTGGCCTTGAACTCATGGCAATCTTCCTGCCTCGGCCACCTAAGCGTTGGGAGTATGGGCATATGCAACCAAACCCAGCTTCACATGCATTTTTAACAAAACAAAAGCTCGTATACCATGAGATACACAGTTCAAGCCAGGCATGGTACACACCTATAATCCCAGCAGTGGGGAGGCTGAGGCAGGAGAATTGCCTCAACTTTGAGGCCAGCCTGGGCTACATAGCAGATCCTAAGTCCAAAAAGAAAGTATATACAGTGCAGTGTTGTGCAACTACTTCTCTGTCTCTGTTAAGAATCCTTGTCCCCAGGAGCGGTCATTCCCCCTTTGTCCTCTCCCAGCCCTGGCACTCATGAATCTACCTCCTGTCCACTGAGCCCCACACTAGGTGTCCTTCTGCATCTGGCATCTCTCACCAAGTGTGATGCCCCCAAGGTCCGTCTGCATTGTGGGAGTGTCATGGCCTCGCTCCTTTTCTTGGCATATTGATATTCCAGTGTGTTTGTGGCCTGCATGGTGTTTGTCCATTTGTCCATGCCGTTTAGGTTGTTTCTACACCTTTTGGTAATTAATGAATCACGCTGCTGGGAACCTGCCTGTACAGGTTTTTATGGGCTGTGTGTTTCCATTCTCTCGGGTATAGTCTGTTCTGTGTAGTACAGGCTGGCCCAGGTGATTCTCCTGCCTCAGCCTTCCGAGTACTAGGGTTACACACATGCACCACCACACCTGGTTTCACAGCTTCTAAGTATTTGGGCTCAATGAAAGGACTAGCTTCTGATTCTCGAATTCCCACACATTGTTGTTCTTTTTTTTTGGTACCGGGGATCGAACTCAGGCCCTTGCACTTGTGAAGCGGGCAGTGGAACCACTGAGCCAAATCCCCAGCCCTTCTGCACATTGTTTTAACAGAGGGAGCTCTCTTTGCGTTTATTTTTTTGACACTGGGAATGAGCCCAGCACCTTGTATGTGTGTACTGAGCACATGCTTCACCACTGAGCTGCACCCCAGCCCGTTATTGTTGAAGGTAATATTTGCTTTTGGTTCTAAGATGATGAGCCACATTGATTGTAAATAATTTTTAACATGTAAAGGTGGGAAAAGATACTGCTGCTGCCTGAGGGTTGTCTGAGCCGGTGAAATTGGTAACATCCTGGTGTTTTTCATCTTGCTTTATACCTAGTAGTGGAAGCATTTTCATGCATTCCATACTGGTTTTTCTTTTCTTTTTTTTGTACTGGGGATCGAACTTGGGACCTTGAGTTAGTGAGGCAGGCAGTGGCACCACTGAGCTAAATCCCTGGCCCCCAAGTTCGATCCCCAGCACACACAAAAAGATGAGGCTTTCATTGTTTGAGAAGTAGCCAGTGACGACAATGAATTCTACTCTGTGTCTTGCTAAGATTGTGGGATAAGCCACGCATGGTGGTGCACACCTGTCGTCCCAGCAGTGTGGGAGACTGAGGCTGGAGGATTGCAAGATGGAGCCCAGCCTGGGTAGTTTACTGAGACTGTCTTGAAATACAGAAGGGCTTAGAGGCACCAGGGCTTTAGCCCAGTGGTTCCACCGCCTGCTTTGCAAGTGCAAGGTCCCAAGTTTGATCCCCGGTACCGAAAGAAAAGCTTAGAGACCTACCTCAGTGTGAAAGCCTTGGATTCCGCCCCCAGTGCTGTTAAAGAAAGGTCAAAGCGTAGCCCTGTTTTAACCATTTCCAAGTACCCAGCTGAGAAGCATAAGCACATTCGCATGGCGGTGCAGTGGTCACCACCGTCCGCCTCCAGAACATGCTGGCCTCTGTCCCCATAGACCCTGAGCCCCTTCTCGGCCCTGGCACCGCCACCCTTCACAGGCGTTGCACGGTGCCCAGTTGCCGAGGCCTCTGGGCCTTCCTTTGCAGATGTCTGTCTCCAAGCGCGCTCGGAAAGCCTCCAGCGACCTGGACCAAGCCAGCGTGTCGCCCTCCGAAGAGGAGAACTCAGAGAGTTCATCTGAGTCTGAGAAGACCAGCGACCAGGTGAGCGGGGAGGCCAGAGCGTGGCACAGGACCCAGGGGGAGTCGCTGGTGGTGGCCGCTGGCACCCCTGCAGCTCCTTTCCTTCTCGTGCAGGACTTCACCCCCGAAAAGAAAGCCGTGGTCCGGGCACCGCGGCGGGGCCCCCTGGGCGGCCGGAAGAAGAAGGTAGGACGTCTGCGTTCATTTCCCTCGCTCTGCTCCCCTGTCCCCGGCCCGGCCCGTGGTGGAGGGGTTGGCACAGTCCTGAGGCTGATGCCCAGGGAGCAGCGGTCCTGACTGTGGGTCCCTGGTGGACACGGTCCCTCATGCCCGGGCTGCCGCGGCTCTGAGGGAACCCTGCCCCTGTTGGGTTTGGGACGTGGTGGGGTCTGGAGAGCTGTCTGTACGCTAGTGTGTTGTGCGGATGTGTGCTCACACCCCGGGTGTACACGTTGCGGCCTCTTGTCTTTGTGTGTGCCGAGAGCCCCGCCCCGCTGGGCGGCCCCGGGGTCTGCTCCTGCCTGGGAGACTCCTCGCCCCACTGAACATCCCAGTGGGGCCTGAGCTGCGAACCTCTCTGAGCCGCCCCCGCCTCTCCCCAGAAGGCGCCCTCAGCCTCGGATTCGGACTCCAAAGCTGGTTCCGATGGGGCCAAGGAGGAGCCAGTGGCCGTGGCAAGGCCAGCGTCTTCCTCCTCCTCTTCCTCCTCCTCCGACTCCGATGTGTCTGTCAAGAAACCTCCTCGGGGCAGAAAGCCAGGTAGGGCCTGCTCCTGGGCTCGGCCTGTCCTCCTGCCGC